TGTCCACAAAGCTGCTTTGCCTTGGATGTCTCTTATAGAGCCCTGTATGGTAAAATCACAAGGCAAAAAAATAAAATAAATAAATAAAATAAAAAAAAAAGATTCACTTTTCTTTAGGGATTCATTCTCAAAATAAGACCCACCAATTAACAAAGTTCTAGAGTTAAAATCACTGTTGTTCATGATATCCCCTTCCTGAGAGAGTTAATCCCAGGGCCATTATTGCTTTTGCCAGATGCCTTTTTGCTTTGACAAAAATTAACAGTTTAGCTGCTATGACGACCTGCAAATTGACTTAATTCTACAATGTGCTTTAATACAAATTCAGCACTATAATATGCTTGGAGACATACTGCATTTCAGGGCAATTTTCCTATAGATTAATACTCCAAGAGACTTACTCTTAAAGTTTACAAGAAAGCAAAGTATAGCCCATAGGTCTTAAATGATCAAATTTTCCTCTTCTCTCCCTCCAGCAAAAAAAAGGTACACAAAGCATTTTTCTATTTTCCTTTGCTCTTATCAGTCTGTATCTAAATCCAACTCTGATAGATATAAGGAAATTCTGTCTCTGTGATCTCTTTCTCTCTTCCTCCATTGTCTCAAACCTTTCTGCTCAACTTTTGCAATGGGATCTGCTTCTTCATCCTTTAGTCTTCTGATTCAGGCTGTTTTTTGTTTGGTTGTGTCACATTTTCCTTCCATTGAACTAAAGGATTGGGGTTGGAAGCACATTACATTTTTGCTTAAGGAAACAGGGAATTAAGTGACAATGTCCTTCTTGATCCTTCACAAAACCCCAAACTTTCCATGGTTTATATTGATCAAGTCACGGTGTTAATGTGCAGGGCCTAAATTGTTATCTATGACCATGAAACTCACTTTTAAGAAACCTGCATCTAACAAAACAAAACAAAACAAAACAAAAAAAACCCTCTCATAATTTGCATATAAATTTTGTTCTTGATATCTCTACTTGATTTGAACAACATGTCCCACATTAAAATCATGATTGACTCCTTTATTCCCAATATAGTCTTCTTCAGTGTACCTCCATCCATCTTTTTTAAATAAATTATAAACCTAGAGGTTTTCCTTACATTTTTTCTCAGACCCCTTAATAATCAATCCTTCACTAAGCCCTATCGATTTATCTCAGAATTATGTCACATCATCTTCTCTCTTTCTCTCCTTAACACCAACATCTTCTTCATCTGGAATATTGCAATATCCTTCTGAATAATCACTTTTAAATTGATCTTGATCCCATACAATCTATTCTTCACGCATGATAGAACACACTGTTCATTTTTAAATACAATTTGATCATGTCACTAATCTCAGTGAAATATTCTCCAGCTTCCTATTGGCTTCAGGACACAGGTCATAAATGAGCCATTAGCTATTTGAGATCATGTATATATGATGTCTTCCCCATTGCTCTTTTGTTTTCTTTCTGTACTACAGCATGCCAGTCTTCTTTCAGTTCCTCAAGCATGCCATCTCCCTTTATTTGCACAAGGAGAACTGTATGCTAGAACAACTTCCCCCAACTCTCTCTATGTAATATCCATTATTCATTTCCCAGCTAGGTCATTTTTTCCTCTCTGATGGCTTCCATAATGGTTATAACCAAGTCAAATCCTACTATTAAGACTCTAATGGCACAATTCATCTCCCTTTTATGGAGATAACAATAGTTTATAATATTATATTTATTTTTGGGTGATTATCTGAGTACTGTTTTACTTACAAAGCTCTGGTCTCCATGAGGGTAGGAAACATCTGTGTTTATTTAGCATTGAATTCCCAATACCTAGTATATACACAGCTCATAATTGGTTCTCAATAACTATTTTATGAATTAATAAATGTATGGACTATCCTTTTGTGTTATTATTCAAAAAGTATCTATTTTTTTTCTTTTCAGCTTTTCTAAAGACCTCATTCTCTTAACATAACTTGGGATTTCCCAGGGATCCAGATGTAAAAATGAATATACACACCATCTTGTAATATACACGCGTATGTGGAGGGAGGAAAGAATGGAGGAGGAGGATAAAATATGTAAAAATATAAAATTCAAATACATTTCACATTAAAAAACAATCTTGATTTTACAAAAAGCAGTTTATTCAAATGTTTAGATTTTAGATTTTTAAAACGAATCCTAGAACCCAAAGTAATCGTCTTTAAAATATCCCTTTGATAATTCTTTTTAGCTATCTAAGCACAGTATATATTTTAGTATTACTTTCAGTCTTTTCAGTAGACACATCCCTGAAGCAATAGTCAACTTGTTTTCCTTTCTTTGGCAAGTGGTGAATGGTACCTAACATTATCATTGTAAGACATCCAAATCTAAAGAACTGTTACATCTTTGAGATATGATGACTGCCACATCAGGTTAGATAATTTTCTATCTTCTTTGTTTCCCTATATACTCCTAAATGTTAATTCTAACTTTATACAAATGTTCTTCTATCTGTCTCAATTGGCCTCTCTTTCTTCTCTGCTCCTTTCCATTTCACCATTAAGCAGGTTTTACTTTTTCATTTTTGCCTTTTGAAAAATTCCTAATATATACTTTTTAAAAAAATCCTTTTTACATAGATCTAGTCCTTCTCTAAAACACAACAAAATGCCAAACTTTTTCATAAGAGCTCAAAATATAGGTTGAATCCCCAAAGGGAGGGACAATCGATGACACTGTGAAGTTCTAAGAGCATAATTAGCAAGACTTGCTCAGCAGTGACCCAAAACAGGTTCTCTAACTCTTATCCTGCAACCACTTTTAGCCAACATATCCAAACAGAGAAGAAGTTTTTGAGAGAGGATATTATTTGTTTAAAGATAGTACTAACCACTGCTGTGCATTTACCCTTTCTGTACCTTCAAGCCACATAGGTCCATTGGGATTGAACTGTAGGACTTGTGGAGTATGGCAGTGTCTCCCAGGAGGAAGAAGCCAGATTCTCATCAACATATCTTGATCCAGCGTTGCTATGGGACAAGAGTAGAGCAAAGAAAGTATCTGGAGGGGAACAACTTGAATTATGGGAATTTTTGGAGTATGAAAACTGTGCCTGACTCTTTCTTGGAAAAATCTAAATAAAGATGAGAGGCTGCTCTGAGTTGCTTATGAAGATAATAAAATCTTTTTACCAGGCTATGTTGAGAGCCATGTTTGTTTCCATAGTTTGATGTGGCAAAAGTAAGGAGCTCTTTACTGAATTAAGTAGATAAGGTAGAAGGAAACTAATTGAGATGTATTTTGATCTTTTCCAAGCAGATTACTTTTGGAAGTGAGGGGACCAACGAATGGGTGTACATAGTTGACTTTTTTTTTTAAAGATTTTATTTATTTATTTGACCGAGAGACACACAGCAAGAGAGGGAACACAAGCAGGGGGAGTGGGAGAAGGAGAAGCAGGCTTCCAGCCGAGCAGGGAGCCCGATGTGGGGCTCAATCTCAGGACCCCAGGACCATGACCTGAGCCAAAGGCAGACGCTTAACGACTGAGCCACCCAGGCGCCCCCATAGTTGACTTTTGTTATGGGAAATCTCAAGGTGAGCTGGAGTAGATGTCATCTGGAAATCCAGTATGACTTTTTGGGAGGTAGGGAGTGGCATGAGAAGAACACACATGAGAAAGAGCCGTTGTTTTCAGAGGGACACCAATGACAGTTAACAGCGGTTTCAGTCAAGCACTATCTTTGGTTCCCTTATTTCTTTTAATACCAGTCCCTTTCCCCACCCAAATCTGTCAATTGCTAGATGTTAAGTGTAACTGAAATTTCATCTAAACCCTTTGCTTTTCTCATGAAACCTAACAAGGTCATGAATGCTTAAGGTGGCACTTCCTTCCTTCTACCTCTTAAATATTTTTATATATTCTGTCATGATTCTACACAAGCCCACAGCCACAGTGAATATGAATAAATTCTGTTCTATGAAAATAACTATTTGTGGTAAAGGGTTTCTTTTTTTCAAACAATATTTAAATCTTGTCTTGCTGATATGGCTATTTGTAACATTTCTACAATGCCCTACATGAAAAAAAAATCATTCTGAATATAAAGAATTAATGAGAGCTGTTAAAATCCCTTAGAATTAACTAATGGTATTAATTCTTAGTCCGACATGATTTCATTACGTATAACTAGGAATAACAAGATGGCGATGTGTAGAATTGTCTTCTTTAGAGGTAGAATTCTTGGACCGAAGCACATTAGTTCAGAAAAGAATAAATGTGGTATGAAGCAGCTGATAAGGTTTGCTTTTCTTTTTTCATCTCACGTAATTTCCTGAAACAATTGCCTTTTTCTGTAAATACTTACACACACAGCAGTTAGCATTTTTTACCTGAGGCTTTATTTTAAAGAAAACGATGCCATTTACTTTTCTTCTCCTCCTTCACTTCTGCCACCACCATATCGCTGCTTTCCGAAGGAGTGACTAGACCCTCACTTAAGCCAAGGGAAAATTACCTGGGTAGTTTAAACAAGTGCACTTTCTCTCTAGAACAAGGAAGATCACTTACAGTTACAGAAGCGGTGAGAAACCTCAGTTTATCAAAGTAAAAGCAAATTTCCTGGCGGTCAGGATGGAGAGCTCCAGCATCATGGTAAATGACCAGTAGTAGTGTAAGGTTTGGGGAAGTAACCCCTCACATAACACAGTCAGCAGAGGTGAAGCAACCTTAACATCCACCAGCGGGTGGCAAAATACGAATGCCAGAATTTTCATTGACTGTGGATTTCCTTAAATGAAATTGTATAAAATTGAATCCACAGACAGGTCAACTTTCTCTTTTGTATGTTATTTTTCTGAGTTAGTCAGAAACAGTAATGACAATGCAATCTTAAATCAGTAGCTTCCTCTCTCATACTAGCGATAAAGCCGCTGTCTCTTCCTTTATGAATTCACAGAGGGAGTAGACAAGTCTATGATCACCCGTATACTTCTGCTCTAATGCCAAACCATTTGCCACATTTAGCTGTGAGGGGTCGGGAGGCAGGCTGGTCTATTGAGAAGGAAGTGTTAGCAACTCCACGGTCAGTGAAGGCTGCGGTACGTGATGGAACACGGGTGCCCTTCCGTTTAGGCTACCACGTGAATGTGCAAGATGGTGGCCCAGGAAAAATAATGGGGTCTGACTTTTGATTTTGTTGCTTATTTGTGGGTGACTTGGGCAAATTACTGTAATGATAGTGGTCTTAATTTTTGTTACCTTAAAAGTGGGCTAATTAAACCTAACTTCTGTGGTACCTGTGACAAATAGAAATACTGTTCCTGGCACATAGAAAACAATGAGTTATAGCCATAAATATGCTAGTTTACAAAGACAGGTATCAAAAGGATAGTTCTAGGGGCGTCTGAGTGGCTCACTTGGTTGAGTAACTGACTCTTGGTTTTGGCTCAGGTTCCTGGGATGGAGCCTTGTGTAGGGCTCCATGCTCAGCAGGGAGTCTGCTGGAGATTCTCCCTCTCCCTCTGCTCCTCCCCCATTTGCATTCCCTCCTCTCTCTCTCAAATAAATAAATAAATAAATCTTAAAAAAAAAGAAAAAAGGATAGTTCTACCAAGCAAAAAGGACAGGGTTATAATAGAATCATGACATTAAGAAGTGATAAAATAGTGAATATATAGTGAATATAGTAGAAATATCTAAATGAGAAAATTGAGACCCTGGGAGATGACTGACTCCTCTCTATTAAGATTTTTTTAAAAAGTGCATAAGTAATGTTGTATGTCTTACTTCTTAATTCTTCTACATATTTCTCCTCCCAGAGACTCTAAGTGGGACAATATTTGACACACATGATTGTTAATAATATGTGGTGAGAAAGCCTTTTCCAAACTGTTCAGATGCCCCCTTAGAATTCTTAAGGCATTTTTTAATGTTCTTATAGTAAATACCTATTTTAAAGAACTGTAGATAATCAATAAATAGAAAAACAAAAGCCATGTGTAATCTCCCTATTCAGAGAAAACGAGTGTTATAGTTTCCTGTTTTTGTAATTAGCCATTTTAAAATACACATAAAGATCAATTATATATTAAAAATAAGCCAGTAATGATAACTTTATGGTGAACTGAAGAGTATAAAAATATAGCATCATTAATATATAAAACTGTACATTCAGTTCTAGTTCTCTGTCTTCACTACTTTGGGTAATATTATTTTTTTGTGTGGTTATTTTAAATTTTTAAATTTTTTAAATTGTTATTATGAAGTATGGTTGAATACTATGTTATATTAGTTTCAGGTATATAACAACAATGGTTCAACACTTCTGTATATTACACAATTACTTTGGGTAATATTGTTGCAGATAATTAGGATTTAATATAGAAAATGCAATATCTGTAACAGAAAACACTAAAGCAGCAAAATTTTAACTTACACAATCATGTTATTATTATAGTTGTGGTAATAATGATAAAAATCTGAACATGTATTTTTAAATATAAGAAACATCATCTTCGGGTGGAAATGATGACATAAATTTTTATCAACAGCATTGGTAAACAATGTTTATCAGTGGGTGCCTAAATATCCCAACAAAATATAACCAAATACTATATGATTTCAAGAAGGATGTTTTCAAAAACATGTGAAAGTTCTACTTAAATAAGAGTAATTACTTCAGGTTTATTAAGCCTCTATTATAGAGGAGCTAGGAAAATAAAAGGAATTGGTAGCTTAGAGAGAAATGAGAAGTTGTGCTAGCTTTATACTAGTAACAAGACACTGGTTAGAAGGTGAGAGCCATAACATAATGCTTCTGAGTTGCCCACTCTGTGCCTGGATATTTACCTGATTACTTAGGGCTCAGAAGAAAGAGTGTTCAAAGCACTGTACCTTGCAAAGTAGGCTTTTTCTGGGTCTCTAACTTTTCCTCTATTGGGATTCAGGATGAATTCAACACAATCCTATTTTCAAGGCCTGGTCAGCAGGAGAAGAAAAAGCTGAGGTTTCCCTCATCTGCCCACAGAGAGAATTGTCAGAGCTTAGGGACATATGAGGCTGTTCATATTCGAAGGGACATTGCCTGCTCTTATTCTTCATTACAGGAAACAAGTGTGAGAAAGTAGTCTTGTGAGTGGAGAAAACAAAGGGAGTTTGGTCTCAAGCAATCTAGAATTTTGATGCCAAGTACTGACTGAAGCCAGTGAAGTTGTCTGGGAATATCAGCTACACAGAAAGCGTGGCTCCCATGACATGTTCTATCCTCCTTGTCAAAGAGCAGCAACAACTTGGCCCTTCAGAAGCTGAGATTTGGTGCAACCCTTTCTGGTGAGAGAATGTGGGGCTAGGCGGCCGGAGCTCCCAACTGGCTCAGTGACCAGAAAATTCAGAGTGAACACCCATGGTCATTTTTGGACAATTCTATTCATTTCACCACAAAATGACTGGAAGGAGGCATTTATTTATTTATTTATATTAATTTTTTCCATATATGTTATTTAAATTTTAGTTAACATACAGTACAATATTGATTTCAGGAGTAGAATTCAGTGATTCATCACTTACATACAACACCAGTGCTCATCACAACAAGTGCCCTTGGAAACGGGCCTTTAAACCAAACCAAATTTTCAGTAGAAAAATTCACAATAGGATAGCATCTGCCTTTGTAGTATATCAGAACATTTAGAGTAACCCAGCCCTTTAAAAGACATGATGCTTTCTTAAGGAAATCATGGACTGAAATGTGACTTTAAGCTTTTATGCTGCTTCTATGTCTTGGAAATACAGAAGCAATAAATCTCCAATAAATAAACAGAAGGATTAGGCAGAGCATTTTTGTTTTAGGTACAGAGCAGAACTGAAACAAATGTGAAACAAATGTTGTAGATAAACAGTCAAAACATTGTCAAACCTAGACAAAGAAGCAAGAGCATAATCCTAGCCAACTTCTAGACAGCCAGGGCTGTATACAGCAGATGGCTTTAAATGGACCATGATGAGGCAGGGTACAAGGTAGTTTACATCTGGGTGAGTAAAATACATGAAACAGCTTTAGCAATAATTGGTTTGAGGAATCAGAATCATAGTGATCCATGCAGGCTTCCTACACCCACAACTGGCTTCCAGAAGTAAGCAAATATCTTTACCCATGATTTGTTCTTTTAAGAGGTGATAATGAAAATGATGGAAAGGTACACCATGGAGTTGAGTTCTTAAACTTGTCAGTCACGATTTGAGTCCTACCTTATCTGTAAAATCATTAAGTTTTGTCCTAATTTAAATATTGGAGTGAAAATCTAGGGTGGGATAATAAATGTGAACGGACACTGAAAAACATACACTTCTATTGTTTTATTATTAGATAGAATTTTTATCTGTTATCAGATCTTCAAGGACATAGTACCTCTGGAAAACTTGTTTTGTTTCGTTGGTAAAGATTTTTGAAGTGCTAATTGATTTGGGTGAGATCAATATATTAGGAATCACCATTTTTCCATTAGCCATCCACATGATCCATGATATCCTTGAAAGGCATAGACTTATGTCTTTAGATATCTGTTTTTATTCTCATTTCCACTAGGTGGTCATTCACACTTCACCATCATCTTCATCCTCACCCATCTACTAAAAGCAAAATAGACCTTTCTGCCCTAAGAGAAAATATGCTTTAGTAAAAGTGAAAGTGGCAACTGATTTCTAATTTTTTTTCTGGCTTTACTGGATCAGCAGGAATTATTCATTGAAAAGCAGATGCTTTCAATATGACTTCTCTGGAGAGGTTGTTCTATCATGAATAAAAATTTCACAAAGAAAGACAAATACAATATGACTGCACTTTTATGTGGAATCTAAAAAACAAACAAATGAAAAACAGAAACAGAATCATACATTCAAAGAACTGGTGAAAACTGGTGGCTGTCAGAGGGGAGGGGTTAGGGGGTTGGGTAAAATAGGTGAAGGGGATTAAACAGTACAAACTTCCAGTTATAAAATGAATGAGTCATGGAAATGTACAGCACAGGGAAAGGTACAGTATAGTCAATAATAATATTGTAATAACTTTGTATGGTGACAGGTGGGAACTACACTTATTGTGGTGAGCATAGCATAATGTAAAGAATTGTCAAATCACTGGGTTGTACACCTGTAACTAATGCAACATTGCATGTCAACTCTAATTTAAAAAAAAAGAATAAAAATTTCATATTTTATTCAGGTTAAATGAACCTGTGATTCATTCACTCGTTCATGCATTCTACAAGTATTGTGAACCTGCTATTTGTAATCCTTTTCTTTTCTGGCTGATAGAATGAAACAATCTTGGAAACCGTGACTTGAACATTTCCTCCACCAATCTGTCACTCCTGAAGACTTACCTAAACTCTCAAGCAAGATTGGTACTTAAAACTCTTTTTAAAATGATTTTATCTTGGAGGCCTATTTGTTACAGTAGCAAGTAATACCCTAACCAATACAACTGTGCAGGAAGAAAAAAAAAAAAAAAAAGGCTAGCACCTGTCCGTCAGGTGCAAGTTTACACGGTAAAGAACACCTCTCCGAAGGTCAGGTGTGTGAAGACGGCGGTCCCGGGAGGCGTCCTGTTCTGAAAGGGGTTTCTAGCTGGTACTTAAGGTCCTAAGGCCTGATGAGGACTGGAAGCTCCGACTGAGTCTCCTCCCTAGTTCTTTTGTTTGGCCCTTACAGGGGGAAATCAGCGAGAACTTGCCCGCCAGAAAAACATGAAGAAATCCCAGGAAATTAGCAAGGAAAGAAAAGAGGATGATAGCTTGACCACCTCTCAGAGAAAGCAGAGGGACTCTGAGATAATGCAACAAAAGCGGAAGGCAGCTAATGAGAAGAAGTCTATGCAGACGAGAGAAAAATGATAACTATTTGGAAAAACCTGGGTATTATTGCCAACTAGGTGTATCATAAGCTCTAAGGTCAAAATTTTGTGGAGCAGTCATATGTTATATCCTTATAAAACTATTTTAAACTTTACCTTTCAGCCTGACTTAATGTAATGTTTCAGAACCATTTTTCAAAGAATAAAACACTAACCATTCATATGAAAAAAAAAAAAAAGCAAGAAAGAATGAGTAGGCTATAGAATAGACAAGTAATTTGATAATGTTGCAATACTCTGGTATTGTGTACCGATGGTAATAGGATGGCAGTTAGGGAAGTACAGCAGAAATTAAACTAGGAATGTAGATTGAAGTAATGCAATTTTAAATTCCCATCTTTTTTCTTTTCAGAATATTGAACAGGTGAATGCATATGTGAAATAGTCTAATTAAAAGTTGTTTAGAGTGTGGGTTCTTGTGTCTGATGGCCTTGTTTTGGATTCTGGCTTGACCATTTATTAGTTGTGTATCTTTGGGCATGATATATGTTTGCACATCTATGTGAACATCTCTGATATCAGTATCTTATAGTTGATATTGTCTTAAAATTGAAGTCAACCAGAGAGCAATCATGGCATAATCGTCACAGTCTGTACATACTGGAAAGATGAATATCCAGCTTTAAAATCTGTAAAATGGATGGCAGAGATATAGAAGATAATCTGAGTGATAACATTGGAGTTTTCTTTTTATCTTCCAGATTGACCTAGTTTGGGGCAGGCCTCAGGTTGCTGGTGAATTGAACATGTAGAGCAGTAAACTCAGTGGTGGCATTTTTATGAAGTTAGCTTAACATCACATCATCAGTGGTTTTTAGTTAGTTCAAGTCTTTTAAGAAATATTGAGAACTCATAATGACACAGAGGAAAATATTATTAGTATTACCAAAAAGTGATTAACTATTATATTCTGAATGGCTTTTTTAAAAAGATTTTATTTATTTATTTGATAGAGAGATAGATAGAACACAAGTAGGCAGAGAGGCAGGCAGAGGGAGAGGGAGAAGCAGGCTCCCCGCCGAGCAGGGAGCCCGATGCAGGGCTCGATCCCAGGACCCTGGGATCATGACCTGAGCCGAAGGCAGACACTTAACCAATTGAGCCACCCAGGTGCCCCTATATTCTGAATGTTAATTCATTTTAGGAATACCTCAACTAATTACTTTTACTTATATTTCTACTTATATATGTACAGTGGTGATGGCTGACTAATAAAATCTGTGTCTAATTTGCTTAAAAAGCTCTAAGTGATAAGGAGGAATTGTGTCAGATTAATTAGCATTTTAAAATTTCTTTCTTGCTGATCTGTCTTAGTATCTTATTTTTTATGAGAAGTGGTAATAATACATACCCAAGAAAGATTAAATTATTTAACCCATGAAAAATGCCCTAACAAAGAGAAAGAGGTCCCTAAAATATATTATTGTCTAGTGTCAATGGAAAACTATGGACATAGACCATAAATCTGCAATAAAATGATAATCTGAAGATATAAATTATTTTAAAGTATTCCTTGCATTATCCAGTGTTTATTACTTTTAAGATTTTTAGAAACTGTTAATGAGCCAAGTTATAAGTGCTCCATTCTGAGTTTCGCTTAGAAAACTTTACAGGTATGACTCTTAAAGCAATCTGAAAGAACAAAACGATGGTCTGGATTATCTGAAAGAAAAGGAGACATCAACATGGAGCAGAAGAAGTTTATTTATTCTATCTGCTGAAAAAGTTCTGATTTTTTTTTTTTTTTTTTTTTTAACAGACCTCCTGGTCTAAGCATGAGTGGTAATAACCACTAGCTGTATCACTCTCCCCTGAGATCCTATTAGTTCTTTTGTGCTTGACCTTCCCCGATCTGGCAGTTTTATTGGCCAGTTCTTCTGGGAAACTTGGTGCATTTGTGAAGCAAAAGAAGCACTAAAATATCCTCAAGTCCCACTCCTGTTTTGTTCAAAAGATAGTGCTTTGTTACCACAGTCCTACCCATTAGCCATTAGCCATCGCGGGGTTGTGGAAACGAGTCACATGCAGTTCAGGCTCAGCTTCCAACACAGCCTGAGCTCTACAGAAACTGGGATGAGGGCAGGGAGGCAGGGAAGGCCTGTCACATGCCTCTAGGACTCCCTTTCACATTTTATTTTTGAATGACCTGGACAGCTCTCACAAATACCAGTACTTGTAGTTTACTACAGTTTTCTTTCCTTTAGATAAGAGTGCCTATTATTTTAAAACCAGTCAATTTTATTCTATTTACAGGCTTAAATAATAAATCAAATCAGCTTTCAGATTGAGGAAATATGGTTACTACTAAATATTCATTGGGAGTGAATACAGCAGTATGTCTTCGTTAATGTGGTCTTCTGGGTTTAGTTTTGTGACTTATTTAGCTAAATTCAATTGAACTTAATTGATTTAGCAAAGCCAGGCATAAAATATAGAGAAATGGAGTGCCTATGAGAGAACAAGGCAGTTATGAATTCATAAATAGAGACGGATATAAGATTTAAAATAAGATCCAGGATGCAGAGCATAAAACTTAAGGAGATAAACACTGAAGAGTTTATGACATGCTTGCCTCAATCTATTCTCATTTCTCTAAAAATATTTAACTTCCGCATCTCAGCAGCAGATTAATTTTGACCCATCCCCCCACCCTCTGCCCTTAATTGCATCATTTTGTTTCTAAAAGCAGAGCTAATGTTTCATGATGCTTATCTGGAGGCAGGGGACTTCTTTAGAATCATTCAAACATTTATTCTATTCCCAGGAGCAGAATTCCTTAATTTATTCATTCATCCAAAAATATGTTTTGAATCTCTACTATCTGCTAGATACAGATTAGATCTGATTGAATGCAAAGAAAGGAAAAAAAAAAAAAAAAAGGAAACCAGCACGGTATCCAGGATTCTACTATCTGAGAAAGGAAACAAAGGATGGAAAGCAAGTTTGAGGCAGAGGTGACAGAGTTTATGATCTCTGTTTTAATTGTGATGAGTTTGAATTATCTGTGGGACATATCAGTGAAAATAGCAATTAGGCAATTGGATACATGGGTGAGAGGTTCAAAAAAACTATCTGACCTAGGGATAAATTTTGAAAGCATGTAGAATTAAAAAGGCATATCTTATTTAAACAGTCTGTAAATACAAAACAAGGACCTATTTTTTGTAGGTGATATTAATTATTCAGGGGTACTTATTTTTTTAGTCAGGTTTATTGAGGTATAATTTGCATACAGTAAGATTTACTCCCTCTAGATATACAGTTCTATTAATTTTGAAAAAAGTATATAGTTGTGTAACCACCACTGCAGTCAATATAGAGAGAATTTCCATTATCTCAAAAAGTTTCTTTGTGTCTGTTTTCAATCTCTTCCCTCCAATCCCAGTCTTTGGCAACCTGTAAACTTTTTCTTGTCCCTTGAATTTTACCTTTTACAGAATGTTACGTAAAGGTAATCATACACTATGTAATATTTTTGAGGGTGGCTTCTTTTACTCAGTGTAACACCATGGATTTATTAATGTCGTATGTATCAATAATTCATTCCTTTTTATTCCTGAGTAGGATTCCATTGTATAAGTGTACAACATTGTGTTTACTCATTCAAAATGTGGTGGACATTGGACCTGTTTCCAGTCTTGAGTGATCATGAATACAGCTGCTTATGCACATTCAAATATAGATTTTTGTGTGGATGTACATTTTTGGTTCTCCTGGGTGAATATCTAAAAATGGGATTGCTAAGTCATATAGTTAGCATGTTTTAACCTTATAAGAAACTGCCAAACGTTTTCCAGCTGGCTGTGCCATTTTGCATTCCTATCAGTAATGTGTGAACACTCCAGTTGGCTTGAATCATTAGAATTTAATATTGTCAGTATTTTTAAAAAAAAATTAATTCTAATAGGTTTGTAGTGGTATTTTATTATGATTGTAATTTGCATCTCACTAATTACATCATGCATTTTATTGTGTTTATTTGCCATTAGGATATTTTCTTACTAAAATATACTCTGTGGCTTTCAGTGTATGTCTTACAATTTTTGATTAAGTTTTATGTCCTTTGATGGTACTGTTAGTGGAATTGTCTTCTTAATTTCATTTTTACATTGTTCATGTGTTTACAGAATCACAACTGTTTTGGTATGTTGATTTTGAATCCTGCAACATTTCTAAAATAACTTATTAGCTCTAATAGTTGTGTGTGTGTGTATTATTTTATCATCCCCAAATAGAGATAGTGTCAGTTCTTCCTTTTCAATATATATGTTTTATTTTCTTGCCTAATTGCCCCAGCTAGAAAAATACTGTATAATATTGAATAGTACAATATTGGATAGAAGTGGCAAAAGCAGACACCCTTGTTTTGCTCTGGATCATAGGTGGAAAGCTTCCAAGATTTCACCATTAGCTGTAATAGCAGCTGTAGGTTTTTGTAGATGCCCTGTATCAGACTAGGTTTCCTTCAAATCTTCCTATCTTGGTTTGAGTGTTTTGTTTTTATCATAAATACATGCTGGGTTTTGTCAAATGTTTTTTTCTGCATCTAGTGAAATGATCCTTTTTTTCCCCTTTATTCTAATTATATGGTATATTGCATGGATTGGCTTTCATATGTTGAAACAACCTAGCATTCCTGTGATAAATCTAGTTTGGTTGTGGTATATAATCCTTTTTGTATGCTGCTCATTTGGGCTTGCCAAATATGTAAGCAATGCTAACATTTTTCATCAAATTTGGGAAGTTTTTTACCATTTTTTCAAAAATTCCTTCTTCCTTTTCTCTCTCTCCTTTCTTTCTGGGATTCCCATTATGAATATGTTGATATGCTCCGTGGGGTCCCACAGGTCTTGGCTCCATTCATTTTTCTTCATTATATTTTCTATATCAGATTGGATAATCTCATTTGACTCATCTTCAAGTTTGCTGATTCTTTCTGCTCAAATTTGCTATTGAGTTTCTTAATGACTATTTCATTTC